CTTGCAAAGAAGTTTCAGCGAAACGGGGCACTGGTTGGAATTTAAGTTTTATGAATAATTTATTACCGTCCAATCCGGATCAAGATTCGCAGCCATTCTGCACCGCCGCCTTACCCCCTTTGGGGTGACAAGCGTTATTGGAAACGGGTTCCTGGATTGAGTTTAAAGGCGCGACGAATGCAGTCGTGTCAGGTGGTACAACGGCAAATATATATTGTAAGACAGAGGACATGGAGAAACAAATAATGCGCTAGATCAAGTACTGGAGCGCTAATGGTGCAGTAGCGGTAGCCAGGCTAACATATTCATGTACGTCTCTTCCCGTCACCGATTTCAGTATGTTCGTTTTCCTCCAGTTTCTGACTCTTAGAACTCTCTTCCTGGATTGTCACTAGATGTTACATGGTTCGTTCTTTTCGATGGTGTGTTCTGTCACCGCTGAGCCTTTACTCGTCAGCTTTGCATAAGCAAGCCATATGTTTCCGTATGTCGTTTCTGAATTTTAGTTCAATTTTTCCGATGCCAATGTCGCCACAAGTTCAGTTGACGTTACACCACTTCAACAGGATCCTGTTGTGGCGGAATTTATTTTTTATAGAGAAAACCGCCTAGTTTCAGCGTGTAATGGCTTGCTATCATAAAGACGATTGCATCCGTCACGCCTTCGAACTCAGCTAGCGAATTCGATTCCAGTAAAGCTGGTTATCAGAAGGGTAACAAATACCCCAAGCTTAATGGTTTACTACCGTGAGATACAGGATCGTTTCTACTTATAATGCATTCAGAAAGTAAGAGAAAAGAATTTCCCAATGTTCTGGAGCAACTACTAGGAATAGCAGTACCCCTGTTTTAAAGGATAAATGTATTTAGTTCAGTAAATTATTTATGAAATTTAAGTTGAAACCGGTGCCTCCTTCCCCTGGAAACTTCTTTCCACATACTTTAAAGTGCTCTACGGGCACTTACTGAAGTATGTATCTCAGTTAATTCTTAACTTTGCGACGGTCTGTTAAACAGCGTCACGGAAGAGGGACTGAAAATCTTCTAAGCGTTTCAAACATGAACGTGTGTAGCTCGTCTTTTTGTTCGATTCGATTGTCATCCACACAGTACTCATGAAGTTCGTGTAAAGTTACGTTTGGTTTTTTGTCGAAGTCGACTTGAACATCATAGTAGTTTGTCTGTAACTCTTGTTGCAAGTGTTTCGATGTGATTTTAGCTAGGATGGCAAGGAAGCAACTGAGGAGTATCTCACCGAGTCAGCAGTATTCTTTAAAGCGCGCGTAAATTTTTTCTTCATCTTTAGCCTTTGTTGATCCACTGTTGTATGAAGGCGTCTTCAAGACCATACGGTTCTGTTTCTTTTGCGATTCATCTATTTTCATCTAGCGAGCTTCTTCAGCTCTTCCTGCCATCGATCTGGAGGGCTTCCTGTGAACTGTTTACAGTCTCTTTGAAGTCAATTTGATGGCTGCGATCCAGCGATGGTTGGTTCTTATAGCAACGGGTCCAGCCCATTGTCACTTTAACTTCTTCACTCATGCGCTGTCATCGTAAGCTACTAATTGTGGTTTTACTCATTCGTTGGTTTTATTCTTTCTTGTTATTCCCAGCATCCATCCTTCAATGTTGCGTTGTTTCTTGTTAACTGGTAATTCTCTCAGGTAGGGAAATAAGTCAGCTGTATGCTTCTGCGCAACCAGTCTAGAGACGAGTAACCACTGTGCCTGCAAACAGCAAGGGTATCCCAGTGTGGTTATATCAGAGCGTACGAATCACACGGCCATGCTTTGTAATGCGTGAGCTTCACTTCTGCACTTCGCCTTGGCCCACCTGATGTCTGATTAAAAATCAGTAACAGGTGTCAAAGTAAATAAAAAGCAAAGTAAGTACAGTCTTGAAAATTTTTGATGGAAGGGGTAATTTTGTGTGCGATTTCTTATTTGTGTGACACACTGTGGAAGAAATTCACAGTGTGTCTGTTACAACATTTGCAGGATTTAATATTTTTATCAGCGTCATGATGCTTTTTAACTCCTTGGGTGGTTGAAGGCTGACCGAAAGTGATTCTAATGTGTAACTAGTTGATTTGATTCGAAAAGGTATAGAAAGGAGATGGATACAAAGATAGATGTCTGTTAATTATACAGATTCAGATTGGCGCACCCTCGTGACTGCGCGCTGACTCAGTGTTCTCACACCGTCGGACTTTTACGGCTCCTCAGCAAGCCAACTGTCCCTTAACGTCTCATTCCGTATCCATTTCCTCACTTGTCAACTACTTCTTGTCTAGATCGAGAGACCGAAACTGCGATTTTTGAGCAAGCGGCCAGAAGTGCTTGAGAAGGTACTCGCCAGGCGTGATGCTTCACAAAACCACGAGACAGATGTCCAAGCGTTAGACCGAGAGCCAGATGGCCCAGATATATTAAACAACTAAATCTTGGTGTCTTGAAATCTAGCCAATGGATTTTGCTCGGGTCAGGGCCATTGAATAAAGCTCATGACGCTTACAGCCCTCAACTGAAAATTATTTGATTGATGAATGAAAAAAAAATGAATATGCACTTTTCCTGTACAGTTGTGGAATTTGTTGAGCAGACATTTTGTGTCAAAATGTTTCGTTTTTGTTCCACACTGTCACTGGGTGTAACTGAAGTATTGAATTTCCATAATTTTGCTGTCTCATTTTCACCTGTTGCTTACGAAGCTTGAACAGCGCAGTAGTTCAGGTTTATAATGTCTGACGTGTAGAAACGGCGTCTGATATTACTATTCTGCAACCATTCTTTTCTGCGACAGATATGTTATTTCTAGGTTACGCACGGTTATTTGTCTTACCGGGTTCATTCCAGGACTGATATTGTTGTCCAACTGATGAACTTTTATGGGTTAATATGGTATACCCCGTATCTTAGGGCTTATTGGTTAGGTATTTTCTAAGAACTGTTGTTGTGTTCCATAATTAACAGGAGATCGTCGTTGGCAGGGGTAACGCTCTATCTAACTGAAACGACTTTCCGCAGACTTTCCACAGCGACTTTCAGGAATGAAACTGCAAACTTTCATGTACCTCACTGAAATGGCAGTACAGAGCAACTGTGATTTGTCTGCGTCTCAGCTTTCGATTTATCATCGAATATGCCCATATCTCAGAGAGACTTTCTTAAAGTAAATCCGGTAGTGAAGTAATTCAAGTACAGTAACCAGTCGTAATCTTATCCAATCGTTAAAGGTGAAATGAATGCTACGTTTTGTACGCCTAAATTTTAGACGTCTCTGGTGCTGGTCGGGCCTATGACAAAGATCTTGAGAAAGTTGACGGAAGTGCACAAAGTTCTGTTCGGTCGAAACTGCCTGCTGGCGACTAACATTTGTATATGTATTTCTTTAACGGCCACCGGAGACGTGGTTCAACAGCAAACGAAGCTGTTGCGTGGAATTTCGCAGCGCTACGATACGAGGAGGACATTTAACATGTCCATGTCAGCCATTTCTTTCGGCGTTATCTGTCACTACTGGTACTGTTGGCTGGACAAGTTCCTGCCCGGCTACAGTCTGGCAACGGTTCTGAAGAAAGTCTTTCTCGACCAGGTGTTCCTCAGCCCGTTCATGTGGGTTACATACTTCGCAACGCTCGGCGTCGTCGAACAATCTGACTGGCAACGCTTTCTCTGTCGCTGCTTGACCAGCGGCAGCCAGCTGTACAAGGCCGAATGGATCGTCTGGCCGCCGGCGCAGATATTTAATTTTTACTTCCTGTCCACGAAGTACAGGGTGTTGTATGACAGCTTTGTTTCGTTTGGTTTCGACTGGTACTCATCGTACTTGTTGAACGATCAGAATAATGATGATTAAAAAAGCTGTGAAATTGAATACCGATACGCAGGCAGGCATAACGTACATAATGTACATATAAAGCTTGCCCTTGTTCTACGGGTCACTGCCAACGCATATCGATTTCACTGAGCATGGATGAACGGCGACGTATAGTGGCGTTCCAACTTTGTATT